CAATCGTCCGCGCCGTCCTCTCCGCGCTTGCGGTGCCTCACGCCATTGTTCGGAGCACGGAGTGTATCACGGGTCGCCATCTACTGACGAAGATTCTTTGGGCGATGCTGGAGGCATTGGGCCTTAAGGATGAGTGGGAGAAGTTCGGAAACGGCCGGTGCGAGCATGTTAGTACGCTCGCGGTGCTGCTTGCCGAGTGTCTCGCTTCGAATGCCGGGAAGAAGACAGAGAAGTTTGTGCTTGTGCTGGACGAGATCGATAGGCAGCGGGAGGCGCCGCAGACGCTTCTTGCTGCGCTGGCTAGGCTTGGGGAGGTGGTAAGTCGGTGTTTGTGAGAGAATCTAGAGGTGTGGACGATGGTTGTTGACTCGTTTTTCTGGCGTTGAGCAGATCCCCTCACTGTGTGTCGTTCTGGTCCTCAGCTCGACACCGCGTCCTCTTTTCTTGCAGTCTGCCGCTGTCCCGCATATCAGCTTCCCTCCATACACGCGCAAAGAAGCCATTACCATCATCCTGAACTCTGAATCACCACCCGTCTACGGCCTCCCGCAGGAAACCGCCGCGAAGCTATACCCACATTTCGTATCGGCCGTCTACGATTCGCTGGTCGGGCCAACGGCCAGCTCGATACCTACCTTCCGGTCGATATGTGAGAAACTCTGGCCGCAATTCGTCTCGCCAATCGTCGCCGGCGAGACAGCCCCGGGAGGCAATCAATGGGACTTCTCCCGGCTGCTTGTCAAGAACCGCGCACTGTTCCGCCAGCAAGGCGAAGCAGCGCTGGTACACCACATCGTCACCGAGGACTCCTCCCCTACAACCAACGGCGCCGGCTCCAGCCTCCTCAAACCTTCGCTGATCGCAGCGTCTGCCCCCTCCCCACTCCCTTCCCTCCCCTACTTCCCTACTCTAATCCTCACCTCCGCCTACCTCGCCTCGCACACCCCACAACGCCTCGACACGATCTTCTTCTCCAAATTCTCCTCCTCCTCGCTATCGGCACGCAACAAGCGCGCCCATCACAGGCGACGCCTGAAACTCCTCTCCCAGGCACAGGCCGAAGACGCCCGAGCAGCCCGCCAAGATGCCTCCACACCAGGCAAGAAGGGCAAAAGGCAGAAGACGCGCATCACAAAGTCCACGCTCGAGTCTGCCTTCGCGACCACCTCCGCCACTACCTCCGGCGGCGCCCCCGGTATCACCGGCCCGTCTACGATCCTCACTGCGCGTCCGTTTCCCCTGGAGCGATTAATAGCTATCTACCACGCTATCGATCCGAATCCTCCTGCAAATCCTATCCGCATGACGGCTGTAGCTGATGCGATATACGCAGAGCTGGCTACGCTTCGGCGTCTGCGGCTGGTCGTGCCTGCGGCGGGTCGGGATAGCTCTAGTCGCATGGGGGCGAGTGCTGGGGGTTCGGGCAGCGGTAATACGACCTCTGACGCTGGTGAGAAATGGTGTGTTAACGTCTCCGGCGATTGGATTGGGGAGATGGCCAAAGGGATCGGAGTGGAAGTTGGGGAATGGCTAGCAGGAGGTTTGGATTGAAGCCTGTTAATCGACTATACTGGTCCATTCATTAGAGTCCCAATTGCTGGCTTATATCCACACCAGTGATACATCATAACTCATGATAATGCGATGACTCATAACATAAACGGCCTAGTCCTAGGCTCATAATATCCGTTATGGAATGCGAATATCCGGAGAAACTACCTACCAAACCCACTCGTCAACAGTAGCACTGGAGCAGACCAGTAGAGTGGGGGTCTGAGGCCCATGAAATGATCCATCGCCCGATTCAAACCGTAGCGAGGAAATAGGATTTGCGTATTGGTATTTCGTTAGAGGGGAAGAGACTTGTTCTCCAGTACGAAGGGAGAACAATTGAACCTTGCGCTCGTCGGAAGCTATTGACGCAGGATTAGTAGGCTTGCCTGAGTTCAAAAAGGTCAGTGACCTCACCGCTGGCCAGAAGCCCAAGTTCAGGACTGATATCAAAATCCGGGATGACTTCCGGTGAGAAGTCGGAAAATGAGAGATATGGCCTAGTCGAAGTGTGACGGGGATGATTGGGTCTTGGATTGCGCTGTAGACCGTTAGGTGCGTACCGGATGTCGTACATTTGAAGCTATAGGTAACATTGTTAGCTAGTTTTCTCTTAAAAAGGGAGGAAGTAGAATCATCATAATGCAAAGACACACGAAGACATGACGACGTGCGTACCGAGTTTATCCCTGCCACGACGATTCGATAAGGATCAAGGTTCCTGATCTTAGTGACCGCATGAGGGTGTTGTAGACGTGTTGCAGTTCCCCCGCTGCGAAGATCGTGAAGGAAGACGGTTGAGTCTTTCAGACCAGCAGCAATGACAGTCGAAGACAGCCATTCAACGCTAGTAACAAGTGCGTGAGAGGAATCTGTACGCCGATGGAGAATTGGCTTTCCGTTGGAGACATCACCGGCGAACGGCTTCTTGGATAGAGTCCAATAACTTCCCAATCCTTCTAGAGTATACAGGCCCTCGGAAGTGCCAATCGCGAAAAGTGCTTTGTCTCCCTCTGGACAGGGTGACGAGCACCACAAGGATGACTCAGTACGAATGCGAATTGGATGGGCGACTAGTTTGGGATGAACGTCAACCAACGTTCGCTCCCCAAACACTCCCAGCAGGGTACATGTACGTACAGAAAGCAGGCCAACGATAATCGCCGCCTTCACCGAGGTCAGGCAGCATACGTGGAGCGAGGAACGAGTCGCCATTTGGACCACTATCCATCGTGGCTCTAATCTTGTTAGCTGATTGATCCCTTGGTGGATTCTATAGGGACTCACAGCAAGTATCCGGTATGGCTCAAGGAGATAGAAGAGAGCTGAGATTGTACGATGGCGTATAAGCATGTGTTTTGCATCACTAAATCGTTTTGGGAAGAGCGATATAAACACATACTCTGTACGGCTCTCGGAAGAGCACTCGCTCCATCGTCCGATTATATGTCCATATCTCTTGGTCGGTGTCTGGAAAGCATACTCTGATGGAAGTGTCAATTAAGGGGAAAGCGTCAAACAGTACATGACAGCATCAACTTACGAGACCGAAGATTCACCACCACGGTGGCCACCTTTGAAAGCAATCAGTGCCGGGAATGAAAATACGAGGCCGGGGTTTGAACTCACTGGCAATAAGGATGCCAGAACGGTTGTTGCGTAGCACATGCTTAATGGTATAATCACTCGGCCACGGTTCAAACCGATGCAGCTGTTTTCGACTGATTTGGCTAGCATATGTGAGACCTTGTTGCTCTTGTCGCACGGGCTTTGATATCTGTTGCGCTCCAATCTCTCGTTCAATTCCGAGAAGGGGACTTCTCACGAACGGAGACCTTCTGATTTTCTCCTTTGCCAGTCTCCGAGTGAGGTGGACTTTCCTCTGGCGTTTCTATCATGTAATTAGTTCCATGGTCCATTTGGAAGCTTAAGATCAAATCTACAACCTCATGCTCGACCCGTTTCCTCTTGATTGCATCCTTTGAGTACTGTGCTCCTGGGGCGGCTTTATGACTAGCCTGAATCTTGAAATACTTCTTCTTGTCGGGATCTGTTTGGTATCAATGAGAGTCCAAGTCATGAGTCCCAGCTCGCAGACATAACCTTTGACTGTAGACCATCACGAGAGAACATTCACGTACCATAGTAGAACCCTGGAATCTCCCGATTCATTGTGCCGAGCCAAGGATAAGCAACGGCCAGAACTATGACCTAAGAATTAGGACTCTGGTTTATGCAGAGAAATTTCTTTGAATATACCCGAATTATGAAGATTATCAAGTGAAGGTGAGCTGAGCTCGCCGAAGCCACAGGGATTGCGTTCTCATGGAGTGCAAATTTGCAGGTGTGGATTTTTTGCGTTGTTAGTTCAGTTGTAGCTTGACTCTCAGAGAATCATGTACTTCTCTCCGAAATTCTCTTTAATCAAGTTTATTTGCCGGCCGTGAAACTTCTCTGATATAGATTCATCCGAGGCAGCTGTGTGCTCTGGGGCCGCAATGACGTCCACTTCAGAAATCCGGTTATGTAAGCAGAAGCTATTTGAGGAGCATCTCCAATTGGATGGAGGTGTCAGTACTATTTCCTCACGCGATTCATCAAGGAAAGCTTTTCATCAAAGCGTACTTCCCTATCTATGATCGGTCGCTGGCGATGACCGCAAGGGTTCTCCTTTCATGGGGTTCTTGCGGCGACATGAATCTTTTCACTGCGCTCGACAGCAGCACCAGAGATTGCATCGAGGATCTGTCGATATAAATTGCGATGGCTTCAATAAGCCAGAAGGGAACACGGGAGAATCTCCTGTTTGTACTTCAAATGCAGTCTTTCATCGATATTGCATTGCTGGTGCTCTTCTAGATGGGTTTCTATCTTGCTTGAACCACAGGTGCTTGCAAAATTGACTTACCATAATTGAAACAGACCACCGAGTATTTAGCTTCCAGACTGAAGATGAACCTATATCTCACTCAGATGTCAATGGAGGCACCGCGTATATGTGGAGTTCAAAGTAATGATGGAAGATTCAAGCAGTAGGATGTAAATGAAAACTGTACACAGAAACCGGATGGTTAGACGGTGTCTTCAAGAGGTAATACAACACCTGACACTCGGTCAATCCATGTTCCCCAGCGTTTCCTGCTTCACCTATTCCTTTAAACCCTCGCTTTCCATCTCTTTTGACTGACCATTGTGAAGAAGGAGATGATGAGGCCATTCCTTTATCGCTCAAGGTTGCTTCCTTCCCTGAATGGGTTGTCTGCGCCTTCCGCCATCAATCTCTCGCTCTGTGATAACTCGTTTGGTTGACTCCGTCAACATCTGCTTCTACTGCCTTTCACAGATGGTTCTTTATAGTCTATTGTGGATGTTCTACGAGTCATCTTGTATACTTCTATACGTTATACATCTCAATCTGTCTACCTTTTTCTACTGTATTATCTTTCACAATGGTTGGACAGTTCGGCAGGGACCCTCTTGGGGCCCTTCTGAACCAGGAAAACGCAGTACCTGTTCGGAGGCTCAGTGGTGTGAACACCAAGAGCCCTCTTGTGGCCAGCATGCCGGATGAGAAGAAGCCGATCCCTACAGACGAGGACGATGATGAAGATGCCCAAGAGGAGAACATGGACGCTCTCATTGACGATCTCCAGACAGTGGATGGTGACGTTGACGTGGATGATGATACAGCCATTGACACAGGTGCCATTACTCGTCGTATTTCCGATGACATGCTACAGACAGACCCAGAAAAAGGTCTCAGCGAAATCGAGGCTCAGCATCGACGGAGAAAGTACGGCCCCAATCGGATGAAGGAAGAAAAGGAAAACCTTCTGCTCAAATTTTTGTCCTTCTTCGTTGGACCTGTTCAATTTGTAATGGAGGTATGAAAACATCATGCTACTTATGTTCATCTCTTCACAATGACGACTGATTCTGTGAGCACAGGGTGCTGCAGTCTTGGCCGCCGGGCTTCGAGATTGGGTGGATTTCGGTGTCATATGTGCGCTTCTTTTGCTCAACGCATCTGTGGGCTTTATTCAGGAATTTCAGGCGGGGTCCATTGTCGATGAGCTCAAGAAAACACTCGCTCTCAAAGCAATTGTCTGCCGCGAAGGAGAGTTCAATGAAATTGACGCCTCGGAGATCGTGCCTGGAGATATAGTCAGGATCGAGGAGGTAATGTACTACCAAAGCTCCGAGTTCAGATGAAGGATGAGCTCTGCTGACTCGAGAAGGGCACAATTGTACCAGCCGACGGCCGGATAGTGTCGTCCAACCTTATTCAGGTGGACCAATCTTCGATCACTGGTGAATCTCTGGCAATTGACAAACACAAAGGAGATTTCTGTTACGCATCGTCTGCCGTCAAGCGTGGTCGAGCAATAATTGTCGTTACCGCCACTGGTGATTATACTTTCGTCGGACAGGCTGCCGCATTGGTTAATGCTGCATCCTCTGGATCAGGTCACTTCACCGAAGTCCTCAATGGTATCGGCGCTGTTCTTCTCGTCCTGGTCATCATAACCTTGCTTGTTGTGTGGGTTTCGTCCTTCTACCGCTCAAATGGCATCATTACGATACTCGAGTTCACCTTGGCCATTACGATTATCGGTGTACCTGTCGGTCTCCCTGCCGTTGTCACAACTACCATGGCGGTAGGTGCTGCGTACTTAGCCAAGAAACAGGCCATTGTGCAAAGATTATCGGCGATTGAGTCTTTGGCTGGTGTCGAGATCCTCTGCTCTGACAAGACCGGCACACTGACAAAAAATAAGCTATCATTGTCGGAGCCGTACACTGTTGCGGGGGTTGAACCGGACGATCTCATGTTGACTGCTTGCTTGGCCGCCTCGAGGAAGAAGAAGGGCATGGATGCCATTGACAAAGCATTTTTCAAAGCACTTCGACATTATCCGCGTGCAAAAGCTGCGCTTACGCAATACAAGGTGCTGGAATTCCATCCATTTGACCCTGTCTCAAAGAAAGTCACGGCCGTAGTGCAGTCGCCCCAAGGTCGTCGAATGACGTGTGTCAAAGGCGCGCCTCTGTTCGTTCTCAAGACCGTCGAGGAGGACCATCCTATTCCAGAAGAGATTGATACTGCATACAAGAACAAAGTCGCTGAATTTGCAACTCGCGGTTTCCGTTCGCTTGGAGTTGCTCGCAGACGCGATCAGGGCAGTTGGGAGATCCTCGGTATCATGCCATGTTCCGACCCGCCAAGGCACGACACAGCGAAAACCATCAGTGAGGCGAAGAGCCTGGGGCTCTCGATTAAAATGCTAACCGGTGACGCGGTGGGAATTGCTCGAGAGACGTCGCGTCAACTTGGGCTCGGCACCAATGTGTATAATGCGGAGCGACTCGGTCTTGGAGGTGGAGGAACAATGCCTGGATCAGAGGTGTATGACTTTGTCGAAGCTGCCGACGGCTTTGCCGAGGTCTTCCCGCAGCACAAATACAATGTTGTGGAGATTCTACAGCAACGTGGATACCTTGTGGCAATGACGGGTGACGGCGTCAACGATGCCCCTTCGCTCAAGAAAGCTGACACTGGTATTGCCGTTGAAGGATCCTCTGATGCGGCGCGCTCTGCTGCTGATATTGTCTTCCTTGCTCCCGGCCTGTCTGCCATAATTGATGCATTGAAGACTTCACGTCAGATATTTCACCGCATGTATGCATATGTGGTGTATCGGATAGCCTTGTCGTTGCACCTCGAGATTTTTCTGGGCTTGTGGATTGCAATCTTGAATGAAAGTCTCAACCTACAGCTCGTTGTTTTCATCGCCATCTTTGCTGATATTGCCACACTTGCCATTGCCTACGATAACGCTCCGTACTCCAAGACCCCTGTGAAGTGGAACCTCCCCAAGCTATGGGGCATGTCTATTCTTCTTGGTCTTGTACTTGCCGCAGGAACGTGGGTTGCGCTTACCACTATCATGAACAGTAACGAAGGTGGCATCATCCAGAATTTCGGAGAACGCGACGAGGTTCTATTCCTTGAGATATCACTGACTGAGAATTGGCTCATTTTCATCACCCGCGCGAACGGGCCGTTCTGGTCGTCAGTTCCTTCTTGGCAATTGACAGGCGCCATTCTAGTTGTCGATCTCGTGGCTACATTTTTCTGCATATTCGGTTGGTTTGTCGGTGGCCAAACCTCGATTGTTGCTGTTGTCCGTATTTGGGTCTTCTCGTTTGGTGTTTTCTGCATCATGGGTGGTCTTTATTACCTGCTGCAGGGCTCGACGGGCTTTGACAATCTCATGAATGGTAAAAGCTTTAGCAGAAGCGTGAAACAGAGATCTCTCGAGGACTTCGGTAAGCTTACCTCCAGCCAATCTATTGATCGTGCATAAGACTAACTCCAACCAGTGGTCTCGCTTCAAAGGGTCTCAACACAGCATGAGAAGAACAACCCTTGAAGCTGTCTAGGCTCGATTTCTCTCCCTGCATACAGATTAATGCCCTTTTGCAGCACCACTATAGCATTTCTGGAAGGCATTGTTATGCAGCGGTCTCACAATTATACTTCCCACTTGAGGCCATTTGATGGAGCCTGCCTTTCCTTAGTGTTCAAGGTCTCACATTGTTTCAAGTTGTCCAATGGTTACTCTAGTAATAGACAAAATTGCATGTCCGCTACAAATTCAAGGTATTCTCCATTGCAGGTCTCCGTTGTGATCCAGAAAGGTAAAAGTCGACTCACTGTATTTCCCAATGTTGCATCATAGTCGTTTCGTAGGAGATGGATGACGGGCCAAAATGGAACTATAAGAGAGCCACTGCGGCAGCCGAATATCCAGCCATATCTGGTTAGCACCAAGTTTGTAAGCTTTGCCTTAGGCTAGCCTTTTGTGGATAGCTATTATGCTTACATAATCCACCCCTCTGCTCTACATGGAATTTCTAATGCGGATTTCGGATCTTCCCCTCGACGATAAGAAATTGCCCAGCGAATATTTCTGAAACACCATGATATTTCCTCAATAGTCTGTTTTTTAACTCGTCATTTATCACGATCATATCGCAGCATCTTGTATTTCTACAGCGTCAATGCCTCCTCGTAGGAGGCCACAGCCCGCTGCGGCCAGTCAGGCGCGATCTGCGCAGCCTTCTGAGGTATGGCAAAAGTTTCTCCGCGCAATCGTCTCAGTAGCCACATTCATGCTAACGATTTATTATTGGATGCAAACAGTCTGCAGCTCCTTCCAGAAAAGGGTCTACTGACGCTTCTAGCAAGAGAAGACGTTCTATTCAGTCGAAACCACCTACAAACCCAGCGCCGGCCGCGGAGAACGTTGAGCAGGATGATCGCGCGGATGAGCCTTCAGGACCGACCTACCGTTATAGAGATCCCTTTGACGCCCTTCTCGAACCGTTCTACTATAACAAATCACTTACGGACCCAATCAATACTGCTAAGGACAAATGGAACCTGTTGCCCGCTTTCCTGAAAGTGAAGGGATTGGTGAAGCAGCACATTGACTCATACAACTACTTTATCGAAGTGCAACTGAAGAAGATCGTCGAGTCCAGCTCTACTATCCGTAGCGATATCGATCACACCTTTTATATCAAGTTTACAGATATCTACGTCGGCTCGCCGTGTCGTGCGGACGAGCCCCAGGATGTCACCCCCGATGCTACCCCATCGGACGTTTCGCCGCACGAGTGCCGCCTCCGTGATACAACCTATGCGGCCCCTATTCTGGTCAATTTTGAATACATCCGTGGGCGTCAGAGGGTTACTCGGAAAGGCGTGTCGATTGGGAGAATGCCAATCATGCTTCGAAGCTCGAAGTGTGTGTTGGCGAACAAGACTCCCTCGGAGATGACGGTGTTGAATGAGTGTCCTCTGGACCCTGGTGGATACTTCATTGTCAACGGTACAGAGAAGGTTATTCTTGTTCAGGAGCAGTTGAGCAAGAACAGAATCATCGTCGAAACCGACCCGAAGAAGGAAATTGTTCAGGCATCCGTCACTAGGTGAGTTGTTCTTGTGTTCTCGGCGCATAACATTTTTGGGTTCCGCCTATCTGACTTGCCGCTGCAGTTCGTCCAACGAGCGTAAGTCCAAGAGTTATATTATCCTTAAGAAGGACAAGCTCTATGTGAAGCACAACGTCCTCAGCGAAGACATCCCCATCGTCATCCTTTTGAGAGCCATGGGCATACACACGGAGCAGGAGATGTTGCTCCTGGTTGCTGGAGTCGACAGCCTCTACCAGGATGACTTTGCCATCAACTTTGAAGAAAGCATCAAATTGGGAATCTACACTCAGCAACAAGCGTTGGACTGGATCGGTGCACGCATTAAGATCAACCGGAAACAGTCGTCTTATCGTCGAACTCACATTCAAGAAGCCGTCGAGGCTATCGCCTCTGTCATAATTTCACACATTGAAGTCAAGAATATGAACTTCCGGCCGAAGGCGGTTTACGTCGCTCACATGGCGCGTCGAGTCCTGATGGCCAAGAATGACCCCTCTCTGGTTGATGATCGTGACTACCTCGGAAACAAACGTCTGGAATTGGCTGGGCAGCTTCTTGCTCTCCTTTTTGAAGATTTGTTCAAGAAATTCTGCTTCGACATCAAGATGAACATTGATAAAGTGCTAAATAAGCGCAACCGTGCTGAACAATTCGATGCTTGGACTGTCATGAGTATGCACAGCAACCATATCACCCAGGGCATGAACCGTGCCATCTCGACGGGTAACTGGAGTTTGAAACGTTTTCGCATGGAGCGTGCTGGTGTTACCCACGTTCTTAGTCGGCTTAGCTACATCGCCGCATTGGGTATGATGACCCGTATCAGCAGTCAGTTCGAAAAGACAAGAAAAGTCAGTGGCCCCAGAGCTCTGCAGCCGTCTCAATTTGGTATGCTTTGTCCGGCAGATACCCCTGAAGGTGAAGCCTGTGGTTTGGTAAAGAACCTGGCGCTCATGACCCATATCACGACGAATGATGAGGAAGGTCCAATCAAGAACCTGGTTTTTATGCTCGGAGCTGAAGACATTATGGCCCTGGGTGGTAAACAGCTATACACACCCGGCAGTTATACAATTTCCATCAACGGAACGCCGATAGCACTCACTCGTCGCCCTAAATATTTCCTCAACGCTTTCCGCAGATTACGGCGCATGGGTCGTATCTCGGAGTTTGTCAGCATTTACATCAACCATCACCAGTGTGCAGTGCATATCGCCACTGACGATGGGCGGATTTGCAGACCTCTCATCGTTGTCGAGAATGGCAAGTCCCTCGTCACAGCCCGCCACTTGGAGAGACTGCGTGATGGCACGATGCAATTCGATGATTTCTTGGCTCAGGGGTTAGTCGAATACCTCGATGTCAACGAGGAGAACGACTCCTTGATCGCTCTTTATGAGAAGGACATCACAGATACAACGACGCATCTGGAGATCGAACCGTTTACGGTGCTTGGAGCCGTCGCTGGCTTGATCCCGTACCCGCATCACAACCAATCCCCGCGTAACACATATCAGTGTGCGATGGGTAAACAAGCTATTGGAGCCATCGCATCAAATCAGTTCCTTCGTATCGATTCTATCCTCTACCTCATGGTGTACCCACAGAAACCCATGGTCAAATCACGCACAATTGAACTGGTCAAGTATGATCAACTTCCCGCCGGTCAGAATGCTATGGTGGCGGTCATGAGTTATTCCGGTTACGATATTGAAGATGCCCTGGTTTTGAACAAGGGTTCTGTCGATCGTGGTTTCGGTCGTTGCCAAGTGTTCCGGAAGTACGTGACCAATCTGAAGAGTTATTCGAACGGTACAAAGGACAGACTCAATCCCCCAACATACGAGAATGGTGCACCCATCAGAAAGCATGCACTACTTGAAGCAGATGGTCTGGCTGCTGTCGGTGAACAGGTAAATGCTGGCGAGGTCTATATCAACAAGAGCACACCCGAGCAATCCAACCTATCGGGAATCGGCTCCGATGCTAGCCGTCCAGTTCAGTATACACCGACGCCCATGACTTACAAGCTTCACGACCCTGCATACATTGACAAGGTCATGTATTCCGTACAGGAGAACGAGAACCAACTCGTCAAGGTTCTTGTTCGCCAAACCCGTCGACCGGAAGTAGGTGACAAATTCTCCTCTCGTCACGGTCAGAAAGGTGTCGTTGGTATCATAGCCGACCAGGCAGATATGCCGTTCACAGATGCCGGTATCAACCCCGACATTATCATGAACCCGCACGGTTTCCCCTCCCGTATGACCGTCGGGAAAATGCTGGAACTTGTTGCTGGAAAAGCTGGTGTGCTTGCCGGTCACCACGGTTACGGAACCTGCTTCGGCGGCACACCTGTGGAGGAGGCCTCGCGGATTCTGATCGACCACGGCTTCAGTTACGGTGGCAAAGACTATCTCACGTCCGGTATCACCGGCGAAGCCCTTCCATTCTACGTCTTCACCGGCCCCATCTACTATCAGAAGCTCAAGCACATGGTGCAAGACAAGATGCACTCGCGTGCGCGCGGACCTCGCGCAATTCTGACCCGTCAGCCCACAGAAGGTCGTTCTCGAGACGGTGGTCTGCGCCTGGGAGAGATGGAGCGTGATTGTCTTATCGCCTACGGAACTAGCCAACTGCTTCTCGAGCGTCTCATGATCTCCTCCGATCGCCACGAGATTGACGTCTGCGAGCAGTGCGGCTTCATGGGCTATCTGAACTGGTGTCAGCGGTGCAAGTCCTCTCGGAGCGTCGTGAAAATGACAATCCCCTACGCAGCCAAGCTTCTCATTCAGGAATTGATGAGTATGAACGTGACTGCTCGCCTGAAGCTCGATGATGAGTTCCCCGAGTGGAAGGGAACTTAGTAATGACCTCCCATAGAAAGTATCCGGTTTGTACAAAAGGAAAAGTTTCATGTGTTTGATGTTTGATGTCCGAGCAAAAGTGCGTTGTTGGTCGTTTGGCGCTCGAGGTCATTTGATTATGTACTCATCTACCGCGTACATGTAGTTTGCATGCATAGCGCACGGCGATTTGGTTTTCATTAGATACTGTTATCATAGCATTTGCATAGAAATGGTCTTTGCAGGACTAGAAACTAGAAATGTGGATTCCTTCAAATGAGTATTTTGTCTTCGTCGATGATGTATAAATTTTCAAAACTAGTCTTGATCTATAATTTTATTAAGAAGGCAACACAGTAGACAGAAATAACATTTTACCGATGAGCAGTGCAGGACATTGCGGCCAGCATTAAAGAATGACTACGTTTGATTCGAAGGCAACCTGCTGATACTTGGTGAACCGAACCCTCTCCCAAAAGACGTCGTCATGGAATTTCCTAGCTTCGGTCAGTGAGATTGGTAGGCTCTCCTTCCTCTCCGAGAACCGAACGGTGAGTTGCTGCAGCATCTGATCCAGCCCTTCCAGTTCCTGGGGGTCGACTCCGTCAAAGGTCCAATCCAGTCTCTGGGGCGGGACATTGGCCGTCGAAATGATGCGGATGTTGGGGTCGACTAGGAAAAGGGAGAGCACCTTGACGGAGCCAGGTCTGGTTTTGTCGATCAACTCGCAGTGGTTCACACGGTGCTGGATGGTTGCCGGCATAATGATGACTCGGCCGAGGGGAGTTTTGATCCTGCCGACGGTTTGGACGGTAGATTCTCCGTCTTCCAGGCCGTAGACTTGTTTCAGCCAGATTGTGTCGTCAGGGTCGTGCTCGACCTCAGTCAGGCTGGCGGATTCGGAGATTTGCCGGAATTCCAGCGAGGGAACTTGCACATTGTCAATGTGGAACACGTAAGCCATTGTTGCGGTCACATGCTCATTCTACGGCGACGGTCAGTAAAGAGAAGCACTGGATGTTGTAATTGCGAAAGAATCTCACCATCTGCCCTTCGCAGTGATAGTCCGACTCAGTGTACGGATGATCAGGCGTCAGATCGTAACTGGTGATTCTACAAAACAATTGTAGCCCCCGTTTTCCATAGTCTCTGTTCAGTTCAACACCCTGCTCAATCCGGACCGGGGTCGGAAGATCCGCTGGCAGAAAGGACATCATCCAGGGTGGTACAGCCCAGGGAATGAATCTCCCAGCATCGGGTTGGACGGCTCTCCAATGCTCCATCCTCCACGCATCCAGTCTATCGTGATACTCTACTTCCGCCTCGCCGGGTTTTGGCTGAGGCGTTTGTTCCTCGACCTCTTTTGAAATGGGATGGTACTGGGCTTTTTTGTACTCAAGCCGTGCACGGGAGTGGAGCATATCCTTGAGCGGAGTCAACGATGCATTCCACTGAGGAACTGTCATGTTGAACAGGTCCTCGATCAGCTTGTATATGTTGCGGTGACGCACTGGGTGTAGGTTGTTGATATAACTGATAATGTGCCACCTGCCGTCGTCCTTCAACTCAAGGTCAAATGGGAGAATCTGGAACCTGCGACTGAAAGGCTTCGCGTCGATGTCAGCGCGAGCAGCGACTCTCCAAGCCATGTCTTCACGCGTGATCGTCTCCGGAGGGACAGGGATCACCTCCCCTTGGCCCATGCTGTCCAATGCATCGTCCAGTCCAATGATTCGATCCTTGAGAATACGTGTCCGCCCATACACAAGAGGAAAGAATGCAATCGGGGCAAGGTCGCGTTGGACATGGTCGCTCCCCGGGTTATAGAATTTCAATCCCGGTGGCACGTCTTCAAGAACTTTGGTTGCCTGGCAGAACTGAGTCCGAAATGATCCCGGCACATTGTGGTCTGACTTGGAAATGTCGCCGTTGTACAATGTGATGACGTTGGTATGCTCGTAGATGACCGCTTTGAATCGAAGCTCGTCGATAATCCAGTCGGCCATGTTCTGTGAGATATCTTCCGGGCCCGCCATTGCTTCTTTCTTCCATGTTTCGGCAATCTCAGGATTGAATACCTGCCAGAACGTTAGTCGCGTTGATTCAGAAAAACAAGCGGAGCCAATTTGAGGCTTCGCATGATGGCAAGCAGGGCGCGATTCAGCCGAGTCAGATATGGAGCAAACATACATTTTTATGCCAATCAGGCATATCTGTAATGCGCTCCATCGCCCTTACCATTCCTATCTCACGGAGGGTCAAAACAGGTTGACTGCGCACAATCAGAATCGTTAATGAACGAATGCTGAATCCAGCTTGTCAGGCTAGTTTGTGCCTTACTCGACGTCCCCTTTTGCTATATCCCGATCGTCCAGACTTGTTGGAAACAGACTCCGGTTCTGGACACCATAGATGTTCTGCTCCATCGGTGCATAATCAAGCGGCAGGCCAAATCCAGGCAGTAAAAACTTGCTGTCCTGGATTTTTGGAACGACTATGAAGGGCTCCTGCCTGGGTGCACTTTGAAACATGTTGCTGGTTGATTCGAAATCTCACTGCCACATAGACTCTATCAGTACACGTTGCGTTGAGATGATTTGATTTTTTGTGTGACGGTAAGAGCTCTCCGGATAGTTGTCGACACACACCTGCCAAACTGTCTATGAATCTCGTTTTCAAACTCAAGTCGCCCTTGAGGACGTCGCCACCACAATGTGTTCTTAAGACTGACTCCTTCTCAATGAGTGCGCAGATCTCATGCATGAAGAGTGGAGAGAAAATGATCGGACACACTAGGTTCATGACGTGTTGACGTAGAGCTTAGAGTCATTGTGACTGTAGTATGATGTTTGCCTTGAACGGTTTAATTGACCATCGTCAGCCTGAGCGAGGATCTAGAGCGAGCCGCTGCTTCCCAAAGAGCTTGGCTGTCCTTCGCAACGATGACCGGACATAGTTTCTGATGGGATAAGTTGGCGGAATTCTGCTCCGTTTGCTTCGAAATGCCGTAGGAGGAATGAAATCATAAAGAGTAACCAATAGGACGTTTTACCAAAATGCGAAGTAAAGGGGGAAAGGCAGAGACACGAAGGTTGCTGTCAACTTTTGATCCGTGGTTCTTGCTGGAAGCCATGGTTCGATCAACTTTCCGGACTGGGAATGGGTTGTCACCTCGGAGCGAAGTAGTGTGGTTATACGTTATAACTAAAGCCGATTGTGCCAGATTCGATCAAGGCAACTTCAAAGGAACCGCAGATGCTCAGTAATCATGAGAACCTCTGACATTTGTGTGGTAACGAAGAGGGGACTGGGCTTGTTTGAATCACAAGGACAGAAGTCCTGCCACAATCAACCATTTATTTCAAGGCAGGCGACTCAAGATATGTCTTCACAATATTCCAGTACCGTTCAGGATCCGACCTCATATGGCAGACATGCGGTGACCCAAGGAACTTCTCGCACTGAACCACCCAACCTTTGGTCTGCGCGTCCGCGGCATGTTGTTCGACATCTCTCCAGTCGACTAGCTCATCCGCATCGGAGTAAATGTAGCAACGTGCCGGGCTATTATTCTGAGTCGTTCCCCGGACCAGACCATGATCATTTATCGCCCTTCGAGCACGGCTCACAGCATCAGGAGTCCGGGTGAGTCTTTGTACCAAAGACCCCACTGCCAGGAGGACAAACAGCAAGAATTTACTCAAATAGCGCAAAAGCCACATCTTAGGCAGCACGAACGAGAACGCCTTGAGACCAGAGGAGATTGTCGCATTTCCAGGCGCGCTATCTATGATCATCGATGAAACACGCAGCGGTTTTCCTGTTGCTTTCTGGTACGCTGTAAGGAAATGGGTGGTCGAAGCGACACCCCCATTTGAGAACATGTGTAGGAACACCGGACCCTCAGGAACGTCGGAGGCCTTGATGGCCTCCACAGCTGGAGCAAGACGGACATGCTGCGCCTTCTGCGAAGCGTGAAGCATGAAGTCGTTTGAGGAACTGAGAATGAAGACTATTCTGGCCGAGGGTGCCAGGCGTCTATACTCGACGACATACTTGACTAGTGCGCGTGAGGAAGCGTTCATCCAGAAAGCAAGAACTATAACTCTGGGTTGCTTCCCAGAGTAACCAACAGCTTCAACAGGGTCTTGGAGGTAAACAGATGAAGAGAGTTTGACAAAAGGGGCCAGCGGATTCTCCTGAACATTTGGAGTCATTGTGATTGTGGAGATCAGCGAGGGAGGTTTGCTTGGTTCCGACGGTATCTATGCGATAGCCTCAGCAAAAGAAGGCAGACTCCTGGCGTCTACTTGGTCACTGGAAGAGAAATCGCAATTGATATTTGAGGAGATTTGGGAGACAATTCTGTGATGAAGTGTTGTTAGTGTCAATGTGTCAAGCCGCACTAAAAGCTGACGCGATAGCTCCACGAGATACAATCTGACGAGTCGACGACACCATTATCGGAACGCGACGATGTCTCCGCGAATCAAGATTACACTGGTGAAGCAGAGCGAGAGGTTATCTTCGTTCTTAGAAGTCGAGGGTGGCTTTGATTAGGGACAGCAGCTCTGGCAAAAGAGATGGCTGCGGGTGACATAGTTGAGCCTCGGCAAGCTCCACCCGCTCTCGTGAGACTGCCGATTACAGCAGCCAGCCATCACAGTGAAGAGACACCCATGGTGACCGACTTTCCTGGTGGAGAATTACGAGGGAAAATAGAGTAATGATGGGCGTCCATCGTCTAGAATGGAAGCCAAGAATGGAAGCTAGAATGGAACAGAGACGAAGAAAGAAAATGATCCCTATTAAACGCCGGCCAGCCAGCCTTGCTATGCTTGATATGAAGCCGTCTTGAACTTAAATCTCTTGCCGCCTTGCAGGAAGAAATGGATACGGAAGTCGTTAAGCATTGTATCTGTGAGAGTCATCAACCTGAAAATCAGCGCTTGGTACCGCCAAGGGTTCGCCCACTCCCGTGAGACTTCTGGTTGCGTTCTTTGCCCTTGTGATTTTCCGCA